ACACACACACACACACACACACACACACACACACAAACACACATATATTCTTGTTTGCGGCAGTGGGCACCAGCTCGATCGGGCCTCGAGTTGTATTGGGCGCTTTAGATGTTTGACCTCACCCAAGGGGCGTAGGACCCGATCAACTGGATTGCGGTTTTCACACACCTCCTTGCTGCCTTGCGGGTCAGGCTGACCGAAGGCTGAAGTTGTGGGTTCCTCAAGAAAATTCACCTGCCTTGGCCTGGGCAACCTAGCAGTATTCCGCCCGCGAGCCATTCATGGAACGTTTTTATTTTTCATAAAGATTATTGTACCATGATTTGTTTGGCACAGTCCGGCGTCAGACGTGTGTGCAATATAATATAACATAATACCAGCCCCCAATGAATTACGGTTTGCACACCACGCCACTGCCTTGCGGGTAAGGCTTTGGCTATCTAAACGCTCCGATTGTGAGGCCCTCAGGAAAATCTACCTGCTTCGGTTTGGGCAATCTGGTAAAGTTACCCCCCAAAAAAATCATGGATCCTTGTTTTTCCCTTAACGAATAATGTACCGTGATTTGTTTGGTACACAGTTTGTACTCAGACGCATGTGAAATATAATATAATATAACTATATTAATTAAGAAGACAACTAGTACCATTATGTGCACTGTGTAACAAACCACATCGTTATAACGAAACGAATAAATGAGCGTCAGTTATACCACATTTAATCGATAATCACCATTATTCGGAATTAGAACACCACATTACGACGTTATATTCATGCACAATATATTCCAGAGAGTATACCGATAAAATACAAGGTCATCTTACAGTATTTCTGATGATTCACTCACAGTTTTCGTGCTTGTGCATGTGTATCGGCTTCATCCATGAGCTTAAGACCTTCTTCGTAAATCCGCTGTGCTAGAAGGTGAATGAAACAATTGATTAAGAACCGAAATATACCTCCAGATGCCTTAGGTGGTTGGGATGAATCTGTTTCTTTATCAGCGGTTTCCTTCTCATCATTTGTATTCTTCGAAGGGTGATCTGATTCCTCGTTTTCATTGGACGAATGCTCCAAATCTTTTTCACCAGGTTGGGGTTTTGTCTGACTCTTTTCTATGGTAGTTCCTGGTGGGTGGCAAAAAATTTAAACACAAGGTTTAACCGCTGATAACGAACGAAAAAAGCTCGGATAAATTATCACTAGGATCTATTTTTTACAACCTCGAACACATCTCTTAGGGGTACCACAATCATGTTGTGTTAAATAATTCAAAATCTCACTTATTTCAGTTTCTCATTTTCCTCACATTGATCCTTTGAGTCTACCCCATCTCCGCTACACGTAATTTGTGCCTCTTCTTGGATTAACTCCTTTAATAGCTTAGGTTCCTTCGTGTGTTGTGTGCTGTTGGTTTTCTACTCTATCCCAGACACTTTCCATTCCAGCTCATCTCCCACTGTAGAGTGCCCAAATCTGATCCGCACCAGATTACTGTAGTCAGGTCTTGTTCTTCTTGACAGAGACACCAGTCCCCAATGGATTACTGTTTTCACACACCATCCCGCTGCCTTGCAGGTCAGGCTTTGGCTAACCGAATGCTCCGGTCGTGAACTCCCTAAAACAATTCACCTACTTTGGTCTGGGCAACTAAGTGGTACTGTGCTTTCGAGTAACTCATGGACCAATTTTTATAACGATTATTGTACCGTGATTTGTTCGAAAAACTCATGCCTGTGTGAAAATATAAAATATATAACTAAGACGTTTATCAGTCTTCACATGAAAACCATAAGCTTGCTCTTCAGTGGTGTTGATGTCTCACACATGGGAGCAATTACCAGTGACCATATACAGCTGTGAAAACCCAATACGGTAATGAAGCGTATTACGTTTATCCTTTGTACTCGAGATGACTGAAAAAGAGGAACATCTACACTGAAGCAAACGAATTTCTTGTTTGCTATTCTTAGTATTTTACTGTTCATGAACCAGTTCAACTGCATACCGAGTCAAGTCATATAGCATATTTCTCCATTCCAACCAATTTTGCATTCACGTTTCAACTGTCGTCACTAAAACGGGGTTCTAAACTTATTACAATTTAACTCAAACATGTTGGAACATCTTGGAATACAAGCAGCTATGATGTCGTTGTTGGTCCTAGATTTCACAAAATCCGTATCGCAGAATTTGTCAATCGATCACCAGTGGCGGATTTCATGATCAGACACGCAATCATTAAGCTTTTTTACAAATGTACAGTTCACAGCCTGGATGTGATAAAGGCACATTTAAGCAAGTTTTATTCAATCAACAAAAAACTATCAAAAACGAAAGAAGATCAACTTCATACTGAGGGAATAGAGGTTCAAGTCTTACCATTTGCGAAATGTTCCTGATGAAACAAGCTGAATGACAACGTAGATAGCTTAAAATCCCCTTTTGAATACAAACTACTCTGTGCGTCCAAAGTTCATTCCACAAAACGACTTTTCCCGACTATAAGCCGTACTGTATGAAGATTAAGTGGTTAACGTCATCTTATCAACCCGAATGTTGCGAGGTCGAAATTCCCCAGCTCCACCTGATATTTCCCTCATGCCTATCTCTTGATTGATTACAGCCCTTTCTCTGACTGAAAGTTCATTATACAAGAACCAATTAGATTATACGAATTAGTGCACAGGGATGCAATTAGGTGACAATTTAATCGAAAAAACAAGAGAAACTTTCTCGAGTACTGATTTCCCGCCCTACGAAATGCGTAAATGAGAAACCAGACAATGGAATACCTGGTGACTGCACATGCTCCCTCGGAGGCGTGTTTTCCGTCATTTGGGAAGGATTTACTTCCTTTTTTGCCGCAATGGAATGTCGTTTTGGTTTTCCTGGACTTTGATTGGGTGACTCGTGTGTTGCCTTTGGATCTGATACACCCGCGTCTACAATACAAAGTAAAGCTATAATCAATCCTTTGGAAGCAACCGTACTTGTTTTCTTGGTGGTCGAATATGACTTCACCGCACCTGGGTCACCTTTTAAATTGTCCTCTCCAGGACCGTTCCATGTTTCTGTAGAAATATCAGGTAGCATTTAAAAGATGAAATCCGCCAACTTTCAAATGCAAACTTAAAATAGACTAATTGATTATATCTAATAAAGACCACTAATTGTGTGAAACAAATCGTAATCATACATATCACGAGAGTGAAAAAAATTGAACACGCTTTAGACTTTGTAACCGCAGCACACACAGTGGGCTGTTTCTCCTATACCACTTGTCTGTTTTTTGGACACCATTATGTTTTATTTTCTCCTGGCATTGACTCATCATTGTCATCGTACACTGAAATCAGTTCAGTTCCGTTTGTACAACCATTAACCATACACTATCTTGCTATCTTTCGGCTGCCCATTTAGACTGACATTAGGAGAAAGACAGGAAAGGTTGAAAGTAGGATCGAAGAGAAAATCTAAAAGTTCAGTGGAATACAGTGAAGAAAACTTCGTAGGTTACTGTCAAGCTCACGATGTACATAAAATGAGAATGTGTACGATGTACACGGATTGTATAACTGGAGGCAAAGAAAGTGAACATCTATGATACATACACTGAGCAGACAACCTACATGGGCATGCATTCCTCCTCAGGTATTCTGACCTGCAAGGAATTGACAACAGAAACACATCATCATCGTTGTACAGTGTAATACAGTGAAGCGAACTTCACTGATCGCTGCCAAACTCATAATGCATACAAGATAAGTGAGAATGTGTAAGGAGGACAAGGATTGGGCCTATTTTTAGGGACGGGAAAAGAAAACGAACCGCTATGATCAACACATAGAGTACACAACCCAACCGTGCATAAATACTAGTTCAAGCATTCTGGACTGATAAGAAGCGACAGCATGATCGCCATTGCTGTCCGTTCGCAGCCATGACCTTCAATGTCTCCAAACATGCGGTTTCGGAGTCTTTTGGACCCCAACCCGGAAGACGAGAGACATCTACTCTACCTAATCGCTCTGTGCATTTCTTCACGTCTCGTCTCAGCGCCATCTGCTGGCCTCCACGTGGCTTTCTTCAGTCTGTAACAGCCACTGCAAACAAGGCGCGCTGCGGTAGACGACCGTCGGACATACGCAAAACGTGTCCTAACCAACGGAGCCTACTGAGCTGGATTCGATGAAATAGCGAGTTCTTGTTCGATGCATTCCCAGACACGACTTACCTCTAAGTTACTAACCCGCTCATTCCATCCCACTTGGGCCAAACTACATAAGCATCAATTGCCGAACACTGTTAAACGACGGGTGTCTTCTACCCGCAAATTCAAGGTCTCCCAACCGTAAAGCAGAACTGATCGTACAGTGGCGCAGTATAAGCGACTCTTCAACTTTAGTGACACGCCACTTTGCCGCCACAGGTGTTTAAGTCGTGCGTATGTTGCTCGAGTCTTGGAAATGCGGGCGGTTATCTCCTTTGCTGCGCTACCGTCGTTGGTCACACAGTTACTTCAGTACGGAAAGCAGTCAACTTCAGCTAATTCCTGACCGTCTAGTTTCAGAACGGAACTCAGTAACACCCAGTCTTGTAGCATCACTCTGCACTTTGAAGGTGCAAAGCACATGCCGAACTGAGCGACAGAACTTGATATTCTGCTTTTTGTGCATTCTCCATACATTCGAACAAGCAAACGATGTCGTCCACGTACTCAAAATCGCACAGCTTTTTTCCAGCTGTCCATTTAATGCCTACATTTTGGAGACCACTTAGTGTGTTTTCCAGTATTTCGTCTATGACGAAATTGAACAGGAATGGCGAAAGAGGGCGAACACCGCTCCGAATTACGAACGACCTACTCAGCTCGCCGTAGACCCTTACGCAACCAGAAGTGTGNAGATTGATCTCAGTATGTCCCCGTACTTCTGCGGCATTCTTTTGCGAAGGAGCGAAACCATAAGGGATTCACGATCAACTGAGTCGAAGGCTCCTTTTAGGTCAAGGAACACAACCGTTGGTCGACGGTGCGTATGGCGTAGCTCGAGGACTTAACGCAGAGTGAATTTTTGATCGACACACCCGCGACCTGGTCGAAATCCTGCTTGTTGTTCACGGATGTTTGTCTCCCTAAACGGCGTCAGACGTCGAAGTATAATGGAGGCTAGTAACTTGGTGACGATTGGGATCAAACTTATTCCACGGTGGTTTGTGCAGTCATTGCGAGATCCCTTCTTAAAAATTGGAACGATCAGTGATTCGCTCCAAGATGATGGAATGCGCTCGTGTAACCAGATGTCACGCATTAAATCAGTAATATAGTCTACAAGGTCATCGCCCCCCCCCTCCCTATCTTGATTAATTCGGTAAAGTCCGGTGAATTCTGAGAAAAACTTACCGTGAAAATCAGCTTACAAAATAAAAAAAATAAAAATAGTCTTTTTACTTCCTTTTTCTATTTATTTAATATACAAATGTACAGTCAACAAAGGCTACCTGGGGGAAATAAAGATATAGGGAAGACAGGCGGTGGTGGAGAGGTTTGAACCCGGGAGACCCAGGTCATTAGTTGGTGACCTAACCACTTGGCCACTACCGCTAACTGTTGGATGCCATATGCCTCTGTAAGTTGCATGGGTGCTTCAAATGTAGAAAGATCAGCGCTTTGGGTGTGGCCTCGTAGCTCAGCTGGTAGAGCCTGCGCTGTACCAAAGCGTAGGCGGCGTCTGTGCGTGGGTTCGAATCCCCTTGAGGCTACTGAACTTTTCACAATTTCAACATAAGACTTCAATCTGCAAAAAAAAACAATTTGAACCTATTTTTCTCCCGTCCTCGTAATGACCAAGTCTCTGCACCATATAGCAACACTGGCATAACTACTGCAGCATATACTCGACCCTTCACAGACAGCCGGATGTCGCGACGGCACCACAGACGTCTCAAGTTGTCAAATGCCAACAGAACCTTCTGTATGACTGTCGATACTTCATCTGTGACGCGTCCGCCTGATGATAGATATATAGCTGCCCAGATAGCAACATTTATCTACTTCCTTTATTACTTCCCCAGTAAAGATGATGATGATGATGATGATGATCATCATCATCATCATCATCATCAGCAGCAGCAGCAGCAGCAGCACGACCGAAAGGAATGGCGATTCATTCAAAATCTACTTGAGTGTAGCGACGTTTTGACAA